AAATGTATTCCGCACATGGATGGAAAAGATTAGAACAAACTTTGGTGCTCAGCATTCACTGGGCAACTTTCTATCAACACTCCCTCCCCAACATCTCCTATCTTCTGGTGGGCCCCACAGATCAGCACTTACCCTTCCCTCCAAACATCTACTGCCTGTTGCAGATCAGTTGTTTAGCAGCTTCAGGAGGTGTTGGGAAAGAGGGAGGAGGAGCCAAGGAGCAGCATATTGGAGGGAGGAAACGGAACTGAGCAAGAAGAAGTGGAATTGTCTGGGAAGAGGCAGGGGCAGGGCGGGATGGGAAGAAATAGGGTGGGGTGGAGCACTTCAGAAAGTGGTGTGAGGTTAGGGACTGGGTGGAGCTGGAGGAGAGCACCTCTAGCAGATTAGAAAGAGAGGCTGATTTGTCCCAGTCCCCTCACTCCACTTAGGGACATCTCTGACTATACTTGTATAAAAATCCTAATGTGAACAAGCCTGGGGACAGACCCCAGCACACCAGAACTGATCAGAAATGTTACTATAGAAGTTCAGTCCTTAACTCTTATTGAACCCTTAATGGCCAGTCTCTGGTTGCAGCATCTTACCCATTTCTCCCTTATACTCTGTGCCTGGCAGCAGGCGGGGCCTCAGTGTTAGTGGAATTCTGTGCCTATTCTCCATCTTTGTAAAATGTAAATCATCCTCTTTGAAGTCTCTCTCTTTATCCTTCTGAGGATGGGGAAGAGAGGAACCCCTAATGGGAAGGTCTCGAGGCAAAAAGAACCCAAAAAGAAGACAGCTCTAGGAGCAGAACTGCTGAAGAAATTCCCCCTGGACCAGCTGGAAAACAGGCTGGAGGAGTGGGGCAGAGCAACAATGAGCTGCTCTACAACCTTTCAGCTCCACTGAGATTTGCACAAGGGAGGGATATGGAGAGGTCCTGAACAACACTATCACTGAGTCAGAAGCACAGTAGGCTGTATGCCTAAGTTCCATCTGTAACATGCTATGTAAACCTCCACTTTCATTGAAAGAAATTTTTTTTAGCCCTGTGGAAGCAGAGAAAAGCTTTGAAACCATAGAATCGTGGCATTGGAAGGCATGAACCAAGTGGAACCAATACAACAACATTGGTTGAGTGTAAATAATCTCCAGCAGAGGGAGGAGCAGCAGCCAATAGAATCAGGGAGGAAGATGCCTCCTCCCATGTCATTCTCACATTGTACCAGGTCTCCACTTTTGTATGGGATGAGGCCTAGGTTTGTCAGGGGGATTAGTATGCTCTACTGGGCTGCCCTTCTTTCCTCTGGCCTTTTGGTTCCACAGATTAGATCAGAAGAAAAAGGTGGTACAGGTTGAACCTCTCTAATCTGGCACTCTCTGGTCCAGCAACATTCATGGGCCGGCATAATTTCAGTTAATGAGATATCCACGTATCATGTGTGTGACCAAGTTTCCCGGGGTCCCATAAAGTTTCTTTACAGCCACCCGTCCTGGTTCTGAGTGTTCTGTGCTGTTAGTTAGTTCTTATTTACCCCTACATTTCTTCTAAGAGCCCAATAAGCAGTGGAAGCGTTAGTAACGCTGCTAGGCAATATTCTTCTCCCATGGTTCAGCAAATTCTCTGGTTTGGCACCAGTCAGGTCTCAAGACTGCTAGACTAGAGAGGTTCAACGTGTAGTGTATTTCACATGCCACCCACTAATGGCACCAAAACGTTATTTAGTATATATGATGCAGATGTTCATAGTATGATTTCCTTCTCCTTTCTTAGATGACCTACCCCAGTTACAGCTGTCAGTGGCAAGCCCTTGGCATAGCTGTGCCTAAACAAAGACATAGCGTAGACAGGAAAAGTCAGTATAAGCCATGATTTCCACTGTTCCAGGTGACTACAGGTTCAAGTAGATGAAGTGCACTGGTGCTAATTGTAATTATAACTGCTTTCCCTGCCCACACCAGGAGTTCTGCAACTAGTCTGGCCACCAATCACTGAAATCCCCCAATATAGACAAGACTTCCATACTTTTATCAGCTGTATAGTAGCTAATGTTGAAACGTAAAGGGTCAGAAAATATGTTTAGGAATATGTTTTAATTAACAGGAAGGCACTGTGGTCTCTGGGATAAGGCACCAGACTGGAATTCAGAAGCAGTGGGTTCAATTCCTGGCTCTGCTTCTGGTTTGCTGGGTGACTCCAAGCGAGTCATTGCCTCCTCTTGTGCCTCAGTTACCCCACCTGTAAAATGGGGATAATAGTTTGTACTTGATGGGCAGAGCATTCTGAGGCATATGTGTGAAAACATTTTGGGTAGAGAATGAAAAAACAGTGTTTGCTAGTTGTGGGTAATCCTAGTGATGTTTAACTGTGCATTAATTAAAATCTGTTGGCTTATGTTTTCTAACACTATATTTTCTAGCCTTGGCAGAGCCTAGGATGGCAACTTGGCATTGGTTAGAGTTAGCAGGGATCAAAGGAAGTAGCTGCTTTTGAGTGTTTTCTTCCATGACTATATCACCCTGAATAAACAAGTCAGTGCACTGATAAAGCCTATGTTTAAGCCTTTATGGAACAACGTGTGTGGGGAGGGACAGAGAGGAGGATATTTGTCTTGACTGTAACCGGAGCTTGATTGAGTAAGGGCCTACTATTTTGAGGCATTTGTCTTGTTTTCCAGAAAATCAGTTTTAACCTTCTCCCCAAAAAGTAATTCTCAATTTGATAAGATTGTGAAGAAAATATTCTGTGGAATGTGTCTGATTTGTAGAATAGCCCAATCTGAAAAAGAGTTTGGAATAATAGCCCAATCATCTTCCTCGTTTCTTTCAGGTGTTACCTAACTAAACTCATTTCCATAGTGTAGACAAAAGCAGATGAGTTCCCTTTAGTAGTTAAATCACAACTGACTGATTGTTGCATCTTTCTGACTTCCAGTTGGTTAAGTGCAGTTTGGTTTCTGATGTCCCCTACCCTTCTTATAATGCTGTGGTCAGCAGCTGTGATCATTTTTGGCAAAAGGCCTATTCTACACTAAATCTAAGAACTGAGGGGGCAATAATTTTTGATGAGGGGGGCCACTCCAAGAATTTGGTAAGTGGTCAAGGGACACACTGTTCCATGATATTAATTGATATGCGGGGTCTGGGATGGATATTGAGTGCAGAAAGTCACTTAGGATAAGGCAGTGTGGTACAGGATGGGGTGTGGGATCTGAGAAGGTGTTTGAGTTAAGGAGTGGGTTCTGACCTGGGCCAGGAGGGGGGTGTGGAGTCCGGGAGGGGGTTCTGAGTGCAGGTGGAGATTCTGACATGTTGGAGGGGATGCAGATTCTGAGTGGGGGGTTGTGACCCAAAGGAGCAGCCTAGAAAAGGATGCAAACTCTCGGAGGGGGTTGTGATCTGGGGCAGGAGTGCAGGGTGCAGGGATTTGGGTTGTGACCAGGAGTAGGGTAATGGAGTGCAAGGTGTGGGAGGAAGTTGTGACTTGGACGACAAGTATAGGAGGAGGTACAGGATCTGGGAGGGGTGTATGGGTGAAGGAGCAAGAGTGCAGAGGGTTTGGGTTAAGTGGGGTAAGGATGCTTGAGAGTTTGCAAAGATTTGGGGGAGGGGAAGAGGCTGGGATGCCAGAGGCAAGCTTTGGCTAGGAGGTGCTTACCTGGGTGGCTCCCAGCCTGCAGCCCTGCCTAGCAGGTTACCCAGTGAGGCAGGGCTTTGTGTGCTAATGTGAACATTGTGGCTGTATCTACATTGGTGCGATCTTGTGCAAAAGCTGTTGCTTTTGCGCAAAAACTTGCTGCCTGTCTACACTAAAATGCCCATCAGAGCTTTCTTGCGCAAGAGAGCATCTACACTGGCAAGAATGCTCTTGTGCAAAGGCGCATGCCAGTGTAGATGCTCTCTTCTGCAAAATAGTTCTTGCGCAAGATTATGCCAGTGTAGACGTAGCCTGTGAGTTTGGGGGCTTCACATGCTGCCTGTCCTGACAATAGGCAGCTATGGAAGCTGCAAGATTGTGATGGAGATAGGGGCAGCATGCAAACCCTCTCCCCCCCACCCTCCAGACTCATGGCATTCAGAAAGGTACTGAGCAGTGGGTGTAGGTGGGGAGGCAGGGAACTGGGCTGAGGCTCCTGCTGTGTCTGCGAGCCAGATCCAGTGGCTTGGTGTCCAGAACTGGAGTGCAGGCTGTATTTTGCTTGCTCCTGCCTAAGAATAATGTAAATTCTTCTGAGCCAGGGATTTTGGGCTCAGTGCTTAAAGATTTTATTTCAGTGGAAGTTAGAGCCTAAATAGATGTTAGGTGGCTAATTCTTCTTGAGCATTCAGCCTCTCATCATTCTATTTGATTTTAATGAAACAACATGCATTTGGGGCTGTATCCAAAATAGTAGTGGTTACACAGTTGTGTGACACGGAGTCAGTCACTTCCTTTCTCTGTGTTTTGAATTTCCATCTTTAAACTCTGTATAATAGTATTGTTCTTACAGAGGTAATGTGTCTAACAGTGCTTTAAGGTTATAGGGTGACAGATGCCATATAAAACCAAGTATTTGTTCCTTTTATTGATAATGATCTGCACGTTTTCCTTCTTTGTGATCTATAAAGAAGGTCTGAAAGAATGGTGATTAAGACTTTTCCCCCTGTTGTTTGTGTTTGTCTTATAAATATGAAAAATAGTAAGTCTGACCTCATCTGTTTTTTCTGGAAAATTAATGATATGCCTCAAATAAATGAATTATGAATTTTTTTCTGTACCCATAACTGAGGGAGTTTGGGGATTGAAACTTTTTGAAAGCCATATTGTTCTTAGTCTGTCATTTGCATGAAATAGATGTTAATGAAACCTATCAATCAGTTTTATATTATCTGAATAAAATTCACTTCCCTAGATGTATGTATGAGTTATCAGGTATTATCATGTTCTAGTCTAATCAGGTGATCACTAGTCCTGCCAGGAAGACTGTTTAAACTATAAATTCATCAGGATAAATATTTATTTTTTCTATGTCTTTCAGATGCAACAAGAAAGCCCAGCTTAGACAGCTTCTCATCAGATTCCTGGTTAGACATGGATGAAGACTCTTGTGATGCTCATACCCGGGAGGAGAAGGAAGACAATTTGGATAAGAACACAAAGGCCTTGGGTGATGGTTCCTCCTCACCCAACAGCACACACTCTGAAGGGAAGGAGGTTGCAGGGAGAAAACAGAAAGCCACAGTAATGAGGTACCTCAAAAGAACTTTGTCTAATGAGTCAGATGACAGTGTAAAGTCAACAACCCCCACAGACTATCCGAAAACACCGACAGGGTCACCAGCTACAGAAGTCTCAACCAAATGGACTCATCTTACAGAGTTTGAACTGAAAGGTTTGAAAGCCCTGGTAGAAAAGCTTGAATCTCTCCCAGAGAGCAAGAAGTGTGTTCCAGAAGGCATTGAGGATCCTCAGGCTCTTCTGGAGGATATGAAGGTGTGCAAAACTGCTTTTAATGCTATAAAACAGTGTTTCTCAACCAGTGATATAAGTACCATCAGGGGTACTAGAGAGAAGTCTGGGGGTATGTCACCACAATTGAAATTTGGAGAAAACTGAATTTTTTTTTTTACTTGTTACACCCAAAAATTTCATCGCCCTCCTGGCTATGATTAAGTTTGTTTAAACAAATGCGTTGCAATGGTAGAAAAAAAATTGTCTCTCTGAAAACTGTAGGTACTTATAATTTAAAAAAAAGGGGGGGGGTACTTTACTTTATAAAAAAAAAGGTTGAAAAACACTGCTATAAAATCTATATTCCATAGGCCATGTGTCAGGGTGCGCACTCCCCACTGTGCCTTAGGGCAAGTTACAGTCTGTATGGGTTGCTCATCATTGGCATGGGGTTATCTCTACTGCCCCGCTTACCTAGGCTGCCTTGTAATCCGCCTCCGAACCCTGGGCCTTGCCTCCGGCCCCTAGCCAGGGAGAGTCTTGGCTGGCCCTCTCCCAACCCTAGCTGGCTATCCCCAGCTGTTCTCCCTCCTGGGAGCCCCTGCTTCCTCTGCAGTCAGCCTTTCACTGGCCCTCCCTCTCTAAGCAAACTGTGCCTCTCTATATAGCTGCTGCCTGGGCCCTCACTAGCCCTAACAGCCTCAGCTGACCTCTCTGGGCTCAGCCCCCGCTCAGGGCCTGAGTCTTGGCCTTAAAGGGCCAGTGCAGGGCAGGCGCCCTGTCACACCATGGTAGGCCTGTATTGTTATGCAAACACTTGTCCTCAATGTTAAGGCAACCCACAGAAGCAAGCGCTGGAATATATTGCTTCTTTCCTGATCTGAATGCCACTCAAATTAGGAAGGGGAATGTTGCATGGTTGGCCTTGTCTTCATAGACTGCTTCTTCATATTAAAGATATAGACTTCTACAAGCTGTTAGGGATGTAAAAGTGTAGTCGATCAAATGATTAATGCCTCATGCTAGGGATGTAATAGTGTAGTCAATGATGTTTATGATTAATGCTATCGGCTACACAGAATCTCCTCTCACCCCTTCCCCCCATGGCTCTGCAAGTAAAATTTTTAGCAGGCTGGCCAAAAGGCTGGTTGAGTCCTGGCTTGTGCCGGGTCCCAGCATCAACCCCTGCTGCAGCTCTGCATGAGGAGCACTGCAGTAGTTGTTGGGACCTGGCACGAGCCAGGACCGAGCCAGCCTATCCATGTGCCAGCTCTTAAAGTACTTCTAATGCAGAGATGCAGTGAGGATAGATGCCAGGACCTGGCTTGAGCCAAGACTGAGTGCTTGCAGAACTAGTCCTTGTTGACTAATCAACAGAATTATTGGCAACTACAGGATTAATGAATTACACACCTCTTAATACACCTACAATCTGATCTGTTTAATCATGTCCATTCTGGTTGTAACTGCCTTCAGTGTGACACAAAGTTTGTGTACCCTTGCAAGGTAGTTCATGATATATGCCACATGCATAAACATATCTAGATTGAGTCCTGTTTTATATGTATCCATGTATTTTAATGTGTTTTTAATCCACTCTGCTTTCAGGTATATCTGATTAGCTGACAAAAATGAAATTTTCATTTCAAATTTTTAAATATTTGATCCCGGTGCAAAAACCAGACCCAGTTAACTTTCTGAATGTCATTTTCTTTCCATAGTTCCCCACTTCTCATTTTAATTTCCTCTGTTGCTCTCTGCCGTGTGATAGTTATTGCCTACTGGGTCTTTTCCTTGTATTTAATAGAAAGCATGTAGGTCAGGAGACAGGCCATCTTTGGTCTGTCTGATGTAGTTATTCAGGAGGCAGTCGCGATTTACTGCCGAGGTGTCCTCACAGGTCTCTGGCTCCGTTGGTGATGATAACCGGAAGGCTGCTTGTGTGTATGGTCACTGATGTGTGCTGTGTCGACTTGTGCATTTAGTCTCCATAGCAGACCCCAAGAGAACCCCCAAAGACCCACAAACCAGATAAGGATCAAAGGTGCCAGGCTGGGTTTACTGTAGAGCAAAGTACACTAATAGTTGTCAGTAGGCTCTACTGAACCACTACACACATGTACCCTGTAGCAATGGAATGACTCACTCGGGAAATTTCCACTGTCCCCATGGTCATCCAAAGACACCACCTTATATACAGGTACAACAAATCACACCTTACTGCTGATGTATCAGGTTTCCACTCTCTGATGTTACTTAGATACCACCCATCACTCTGTACCTCATGGTTTGATTAGATCATCTCTATCCATCATGCTGTTATTTTAGACCCTTTTTTTGAATCTGGGTCTGTATCCTTGGGGAGTGGGTACCAAGGCCTTTTTTAATTAGCTGGTGGTACCATGTGATTTCAACTTACAACCAGTACCAGTTATCGTTCTGCACTCGGTACCTAGCACCAATTAGTGTTTCATACTCTCAGCCCTGTTCGTGCCAAGTTCTGTGAGCTGGGGCCTGCCTCTTGCTCACAGCTTAGCTTTGCTTTATGTTAGCTGTGTTTTGTCCATTGTTAGCTAGGCCTCGGGCCTCAAACCAGGCTGGTGCTGCTTGGGCTTATGTTTTAGGCCTTCATCTTACTACATTTGGGTTAGCCCCTGGCAGGCCCTCACACTGCCATATTTATCTTTGCCTCTGCAAATATGGGGATCACAGCTCCCGTTGGTCGCGGATCACTATTCCTGGCCAGTGGGAGCTGCGAATGCCTGGACCTGTGGAGGTGTAGATAAATATAGTGGCAGCAGCCTGCTAGGGGCTAACTCTGGTGAACCACCTCTGTTTTATTGCCTACCCCTGTTGCTGCTGAGGTTGTGCAGGTGTGGTGACCTCATGTTCTTAAGGGACAAAGAAGACATCTCAAGAATAGTCAAAACACCTAATTTTCAAAATGGTCCTTGTTGATTTTAGTTCCAGCTCTGTTCCAGAGTTACTCTGTCAGCTATGATAAATGATTTTATCTCTGTGTCTTTGTTTCCTCTTCTGTAAAATGGGGGTATTAATTCTTCTCTTCTTCACAGATATGAAGTCTGAAGATTAATCCATTAGTGTCTTATGATTCTTTATTATTTTATTGTTTTCATTTTTAAATTCATGTTTGAGTAGTTTCCGCTAGAAAAAGACAGATTAAAATTTCTGTAAGCAGAAATTACAGATTATAAATTCCATACTGTATAGCCTTATGATAATCATTTGCTTTGATTTGGAATCATGAGTTGTAACCCCTCTCCTGTGCTTCGACCACTGGTATTGTTACTTCCAAGAGCAATGTGGTTTTATTTATTATTCTTTGCACCACAGAGTAGAGAAGATGTGTCCCATTTATCATGGCTTATGTAGCGCATGTAAAGAAAAGTGTTTGTTTATATAGTAAAAGAATAGGGTATGTACTTTCTCAACATAAATTGTCACAGCTGCTTAGAAGCAGTTACAATGCCATTTAAATAAAAAGGCTGTAAACATATAGGCTACGTCTACTTTACGAGTTTTACCGGAAGAGGCAGTGCAAATGAAGTACTGATTAGCATTTTCTCGTGCTTCATTTGTATAATCTTGAGGTTTTTGCGCAAAAACATGCGGTGTGGACGTTTCCTTTTTGTACAAACCCCATTTTTGTGCAAGATCCTTATGCCTCTGGAGAAAATACTAATCAGCACTTCATTTGAATTGCCTCTTCTGGCAAAACCTGTAGTGTAGATGTAGTCATAGTGTGTAGCACAGCCATCTTCCACAAACTTGGAGCCTGGAATCATAATGCATGGTACTCATTTTGGTATGTCGCTGAGAGTACAATTCTGTTCAATACTTTTGGAATTGTTACTAGGTATATATTTGAGTGTTTGCACAGATCATGGTAGCTGTTTTATGATTTGCAGCCATCTCATTTGAAATCTGAATTATGTCCTAAGAGCAGGAGTTGAATTGGGCAGAGAAGAAAGATTGTGGTATTCAGCCAAGCTCCACAAAATCCAGGTTCCACTTACAAAATAGTCTTCATCCTTTAAAATGCCAAACTGAGATGTTATTTACAGTAAATTGTGCAGATGTTCAAAATACAATTACACATATCAGCTGTCCCTCGGTGGTGGTTGTATATACCCATAGACTGTGCTGAGTCCTTTGGCTTGGTTTCTTCTTCCTAGAGATCAGATGTTTTGCTAAGATATTTCTCTTTTTGATTGGGAGGAAAAATAAATGGCAATATCTCCCAAATTTCATTCTCTTGGACACCAAAATGAAATGTCACTCTCAGTAGATTGTGCAGATTAGGGATGTCAGCATGTGGATGGCTACACAATTAACCAATAAGCCTGGATTTATTAGTTAATCCTATCGTCTTCACACATTCTCCCCTTGCTGTCTCTGTATCAGAAGCAACAAGGCTGTGGGAGATAGGAGACAATGCTTGTGGGGAGGCAGCTTTTAAGCTGGCTTCCCAGATGTCACTCTCAGTAGATTGTGCAGATTAGGGATGTCAGCATGTGGATGGCTACACAATTAACCAATAAGCCTGGATTTATTAGTTAATCCTATCGTCTTCACACATTCTCCCCTTGCTGTCTCTGTATCAGAAGCAACAAGGCTGTGGGAGATAGGAGACAATGCTTGTGGGGAGGCAGCTTTTAAGCTGGCTTCCCAGGAACATTGGATCCACCTCCTGCCTCTGTTACCTCAATATGTGTGGGGAACAGGCTCTGCAGACCCACATCTTTCCCCCTGCTCCCCACTGCCTCCTGGAGTGGCAAATGAGGGCGGGGGAGTAGGAAGGAGTCAGTGCTGGAGGAAGATAAAATTTGATGCAGTTAGCATGTAACTGAACAGTCATGTATCTTACAACCCTAATGCAAATTTTAAATACCATCTTTGTTCTTTCTTCAGCTTTGATCAATAAGTGTAACAGACAACAATGTTGACATTTAAATGAGCATAATTGAGGAGTTAACTTTTCTCTGAGATAAAGAGGGTCCGTTAACATTTCTTGGAGTGAT